GCTTCCCAGGTTCCTGCGATTCTCATGCTTCAGCCTTCTCTGCATGGAAGTTGATGCTGAATCCATAGGAACGAGCTTCTTCGTTGGCTACAAAACTGGGAAACAGTGTGTGTATGTCTTCTAAAGTTTATAAACATGATCATGACACACTAATAACGATGTTTTGGTAGGATTCTTATGTTCTGCTTTGCTTTTAAGTCAAATATCCAGTATATCATACACACTGTTGCTTCTTCCTTTGTTAAATGTCACACTCCATTCTGGCTTATTGACTTCCAGGTGTTTATCTGGTAGTTTATTTCTCCTCCAATATCCTGCACACCAACACTAGACTTATCTTCCTAAAATACCGGTTTTGGCATTTCACTGCCCCACTCAAAAACTATGTAAGTTGTTACTTCTCTGCCCATCCTTGTCTTTCCAAAGTTGTGATTTCAGATATGGTAGGGATAAGCATTTAAGATTAGTTTCTGAAGAAGGGATGAGTCAGTACACTCTTTAGAGAAGTAGGGATCTTGTCAATTACAGGGAACATTGAGGAAGCTGGTATTTTGAGAAAGGTGTATCCATACCCAAATGTAGGCCTAACAGCTTCAAATAATGTTATCTTAGAAGCTGCTCCTGAAAACCTCTGTGTTCCACTGATACCAGAATTATCTTTAGAATAAAAAGAAATGAAGAATGTGAATGTGTTTTGCAAACAGCAAAATGTTATTGTTAATGAAAAGTATTATTTTTGCATGCTCTCTACGGTGCTTGATGCAGTCCCTTAATCTCTTTCTTTCGAGCCCCAGTTTCTTCTTCTGTTATGTAAGGATAATAATTAATGACCAGAAGCTTGTCTTTTTTTTCTGAGATGGAGTTTTGCTCTGTTGCCCAGGCTGGAGTGCAGTGGCGTGATCTCAGCTCACTACAACCTCCACCTCCTGGGTTCAAGCGACTCTACTGCCTCAGCCTCCTGTGCAGCTACGATTACAGGCCCGCGCCACCATGCCCAGCTAATTTGTTTTGTATTTTTAGTAGAGACAGGGTTTCCCCATGTTGGCCAGGCTGGTCTGAAACTACTGACCTCAGGTGATCCGCCTGCCTCGGCCTCCCAAAGTGCTGGGACTACAGGCGTGAGCCACCACGCCCAGCCTGAGCTTGTCGTAAAGATTGGTGAGATGGTGAAGATGCAGCAGCTGCCATTTATTGGGTGCTGAATGAATGAGTTGATAGTCCTTTTGGTAGGAGAAACTACATGAAATATGAGACCGCAAGAACACTATGTGTGTGTGTGTGTGTGCATGTGTTGGAGGAGGAGGAGTGCTGGCAGCTAGATTCATAAGCTCCAATGAGGTAGAGAAGGGACCTGATGGAGGACATTTTCTCTGCATGGAAGTTGATGCTGAATCCATAGGAACGAGCTTCTTCGTTGGCTACAAAACTGGGAAACAGTGTGTGTATGTCTTCTAAAGTTTATAAACATGATCATGACACACTAATAACGATGTTTTGGTAGGATTCTTATGTTCTGCTTTGCTTTTAAGTCAAATATCCAGTATATCATACACACTGT